AGAAAGCCTATGTTCAGTTAGGAAGGAAGTGTTATACAATACCCTCATTGAGTTTGGGGTATCCATGAAACTAGTTATGCTCATAAAGTATGTTTAAATGACGCATGTAGTGAAGTCCGTATAGGTAAACATATGCCTCATATGTTTCCTATTAAAACGGTCTGAAACAAGGAGATGCTTGAAGAAACCAGTTTTCTGGGATATGGCACCGTGTAGATGTGGTGTTAACAGACGTTTCAGAGGAACATATCGCCTCCATCTTCAGGATAGAAGGAAAAATAAGAAAATCCGCAAGTGAAGAGACAGTAAGAAACGGTAAAGCAGACTTCAAGCAGGTTTTTTAGGAGTACCTCGAATTCCCATGCCAATTCTCACTCCACAGACTGCTCCACACTCATCATCATCATCCGGGTATGGTACAACAGGCCAATTAGTGGCCGGCGTACCTAATTGACTCGGTCTTACCCCACCCCAAGAAATAAAAAAAAAATCGAAGAACCCTGCCCGCTACTGCATCTTCTCTGGCCGCGAAAAGCTGTACTTCAAGGCCCGTTAAGTCCGTATTACTTAGCTTGGTTTCGTTGCTGAAGGCATGTGGAAAGGTGTTTCTAATTATTAATTTTGCTTTTAACGTCTATGAATATATTTCATACGCGTGTGGCATGTTTACATATTACTTTTTCATATATACGGAAATTTTCTGGAAGTATATCTGTTATTAGTTTGCACGTATTCGTTATTTTGTATTTGTTTCTCTCCTTCTATGGCTCTACAGCTCTTTGGAACTTGGCGGCTTTTTCAATTTCTTAATCTATACAGAGTCGGTAGGACCCCTTAGACGGGGATCAGCATATCGCAAGGCCGTTACTTATGGGATTTGTGGTGGACGAAGTGGTGCTGGGGCGGGTTTTCTCCGAGTACTTCGGTTTCCTCTGCCAATCTTCATTCCACCAAACTCTCCATCATCATAATCACACGGGGCAGGCTACAATAGGCCAATCAGTGGCCTCTAGTGGGATTCGAACCCACGACCCCAGTGTTCTAACGAGCGAAGACGGTTCATGCCTTAGAGAGCGCGGCTAATGTAATCAGCTCGTTTAGTTTGAATAGAAGGGTAAACTACGTAAGAATTCTCTAATCTGATAAGTATTTATCAATTAGTCCAATTGTGAGAAAAATATTTGTCGCAGCAATATTCTGGTATGCGATTCTGTGAGGGAAACTTGTTTCAGAGTTTTCATTTTTACTATATTCAGTGCTGTGTTTATTTCTCTTGTCACGCAACCTTTGCCTGAAGTGGATGGCAACTTCTATATCGCATGTGTTATGCGGGTACATCTATTCCGCAGTTGACAGGCATAACGCAGCGCGGCTATGAACTTCGTAAATGATATTCCATTCCGTGATCTTCATATAAGAAGTCACATCCATTACACTCTTGCTTCTGACTATTCAAGTTTACACGTTTGCTTCAAATAGAAATGTGAGTCAATGTCTTGAAATTGGTTTCGCTGGAATCCTGTATTGGATGATCTCTGAATGTTGCCGCATATGTTTAATGTATAATACAGCATCTAACGCGATTCAGTATCTCATAAGGAACAAGCTGGCTCAAGCGGTAGCTCTTCTGTCTTGTATTCTAGAGGTTTCCGGTTCGAATCGCGTCCGGGACAGCGACTATCCCCACTAAGGCTTTTCGCGCTTTTCCTTAATCCCTCAAGGAAAATGACGTGGCAGTGCCTTAAATTAGGCAAAGATCGATTCCTTTCACATCCCTTTCAATTAATTATTAACTATCAACCATTCATTAGACACTATGTAGTCTGAGTCACTGACAGCGTCGTTAAATAACCAACAAAAATGCGTCATATTTTCAGAAATTGTCAGATTATTTTCTAAGATTTTACAGAATTAACTGCTAGCGGGAAAGAAATAAGGTAAAGGGTAAAGATATTCTGTAACAGGCCGTGGAGGTCCATAGGGTGGTGAGACGTCGAGGGTCCCATATTACATAGTCGGCTCATAGATGACGGTAAGATCAGCCTTACGCGCCGGCCGCCCTTTACCCCCCATGAAGATTCCTGGTACTTATTTCTGTTAGGGGCTGAGTCGACCCCAGGGCCATAGCGCGACTGGAAGGATTAGGTCAATCGAAAAATCCAATGACCTCATCGGGACTCGAACCCGTGACCTTCCGGCTTGTAGCATAGTGCCTCAACCAACTACGCTACCGTGTGCCACCTAGGGCGATAAAAATATTGACAACTTTTTTCGGATGTGAAAATTTATATGCAGTAGTATATGAATCAGGGTGTATGTACGTGTGTTTCTTCCCAGAAACTCAACGCTCAATAACTCATCGCTTAGTCAGGCACAGTTCCCCTCCCCCCTTAATTCTTTTCATGACACAAGAAACTTCTGTACAACCGTCTGACAAATGGTAATATTGTGCAACGTGTATCGAGTGCTGTGGAAGATACATCGTGAATTTTTCAGTTATAAAAAGAATGCCTTGTTTAGTGCAGTGAACATTTTCAGAGAAAGATGTAATTGAATTTCTATACGTCCACTATACGTAACACTGAGGGGAGAGCAAGCAAGAGCAATACTACTTGAATTCTTATATAACTACTCATCAGTCTGTAGGCTTCAGCGTCAAATTAATGGAAGAGGATTCAGTGTTACCGCTCTCTGTTACGCCAGAGCATAAAAGCAAATATATGAATGTGTCACGGTGTGCAGTGGAGAAGATTTCATTCCGAATGACGTTTAGAGGCAGTTTTTTTGTGTAAGGAAATGTATTGGGTATTTTTTTTATTTCAGTTTTTGAATAGGCACTGCGTTTATTTTACTCCACTTTTTAAATTATCAAAACGCAGTATGTTCAGAGTTTGCGTTCCATTTATATCATTTACCGATATCACTTTTAGCCAACAGAAGTACCAGTTCTTTGTTCGACTTTCTTTGTCAGCGACACAACAGTAAAAAGATAAAGGTAAAGCTATCCCCCCATCAGGCAGTGGAGGCCCATAAGGTTGTGAGATGTTCAGGCTCCCACATTTTCTAGACAATCGACTCGCAAATGGCGGTGAGATTGTCAGCCTTACGCGCCGGCCGCCCTTTACCCTCCAGGAAGTTTCCTGGTACTCATTTCCGTTAGAGGTTGAATCGACCCCAGGGCCACAGTGCGGCTGGAAGGATTAGGTAAATTGAAAAAAAAATCCGCCTCATCGGGATTTGATCCCGCGATCTTCCCGCTTGTAGCACAGTGCCTCAACCAGTTACGCTATCGCGTGCCCATCAGTATCACAAGTGTCTTAAATTACAGAAGAGGGAATAAATTTCAGATAGACCTACCGTGTTTATAGTTAATTGGGTAGCTTTTTGATGCACGATGCTAGAAGACGGAAGGTCGCGAGTTCGATTTCCGACAAGGCCATTGGAATTTTTAATTGACTTAATCCTTCCAGCCGCAATATGGCCCTGGGGTTGACTCAGTCTCTAACAAAAATGAATACCAGGAATCTTCCTGGGGTTAGAGAGTGGCCGGCGCGTAAGGCTGACCTCACCGTCATCTGTGAGCCGACTGTCTAGAAGATGTGGAAGCCTCCACGGTCTCTCATAGGCATAGCTTTATTTTTCACTTTTTTAATGTCTAGTCATCTTATATTTGGTTTCTTAGTGAAAATTCAAAAAGATTTACAAAGATGGTGGATTGTAGGTTCTCACGGCGGTGGCGATGGAGAGTTAGGTCTACTGGGACATAGCGCTGTGCAGTCCGGCGCCTGCTTGCTTCATGCAAGTTCCTTACTTGGCCGAGGAGGCGATATGTACTTCTGAAACGTCGGTCGCCTTTCATCGGACTACACGGCGTTTTATTCCAGAAGGCAGAAGCCTTTACTTAAAGATTTCGCTCTCTTTGGTATTGAGACTACGGTGAATAATCTGTTATCATACACATATTTATAAAACACTACAGCCATCGGACCTAGCACACGGAACTTTAATTCGCAACATATTGTGGGGCTCGGAGCCAAGAATAATTTTTGCTGTGTAGGACCAGCGGCTAATTAACAGTCAGTCCGACAGACAGTTGAGTTCTAGCAGTCATCGAGCAGATCAGCAGACACTTCACCGAGATTAACGGTGCACGAAGAATTGTGATAGTGAAGAAGAAACGTCTAGAGGACGTTATAGGCCATAATAATAGTACTTGTGACCGTAAAAGAGTGTGTCCAATTAACAGAGGCACCCGGTAGCTAAGTTGGTTGAGGCACTATGCTACAAGCCGGAAGGTCGCGGGTTCGAGTCCCGATAAGGTCATTGGATTTTTTTTTCAATTGACCTAATCCTTTCAGCCGCACTATCGCCCTGGGGTTGACTCAGCCTCTAACAGAAATGAGCACCAGGAATATTCCGGGGGCTAAAGGGCGGTCGGCGCGTAGGTCTGACAACCTTACCGCCATCTATGAACCGATTGTCTAGAAAATGTGGGAGCCTCAACATCTCACAACCCTATTGGCCTCCACGGCCTGTTACAGGGATACCTTTACTTTACTTTTTTAAAATCCGGAAACCCACGTGAATTATTGTTGCGCTACCAACGAAACACGTGACAATATCAAGTAGACAATCTCCTGATAGATGGCAGAATAACACTGTTGCGGAGTTGTGCTCGATCTGCCTTTGACCGGTGCGATCAAATCTGTGCCGTTATCCGTGGGCATTACGGTCTGTGTCAATCTGTGTATATCCGTGGTCTACATTGTACACTGAGTTGGCTGTGATCTATGTGATCTGTGTTGGCTATTAAGTCATCCGTGGCAATGGTATCGTATGGCAAGAATTTGTACGTGGTAACATAAGCAGTATTAAATAATTGTAAGTTGTTATTAACCTAGTTTTTTATGTGGGCAGCTGTGTTTTTGTTATCACTATCTGTTACAGTGTAATTTTATTTCTGTTGTGGATTGGAATAATATGTTGTTGTAACTTTGCAGATGTGGAGACCTCAGAAACTGACTTTTACATTTAGGAATATCAACAAGACCGCGTACGCATTTTATTCTAGACGCAGTGATTCAAAAGGTGCAGATTCGTATAAAGCAGTGAAACCAAGAAAATGCACTGATGGTAATGATGAAAGTATAAATATTAATTATGCAAATTCTCGTTATTTGAGGCATATAATCTCGACATGTCAGCTGAGACATTTTGGACGTTTGTAATACTTCTTTCTTAGCATAATAGGCAGGTTGAAGGTATAGTACATTAGATACATTAGCAGTCAGTTTGTGGATAGCAAATTTGAATCCGAAATAAGTTCTTGTTTTGTATGTACACTATCACAAGGCTATACAACTTTGGCATAACTATGTAAAAACTGAATGTATCATTTCATGCTATTTGACGCGATTGAACGGCATTAAAGTGCATGATTTCAATGGAGCCTGTATCCTTTAAATATAGTAGGCACGAGAAAGTGCTGTGATTGTGAAAACAATTGATCTCAAGGGTTCGACAGATTTACATGTTTTGCACTTTGCATAATACTAAGACAGATCTACGTGTTTTGAACTTTGCTGAATACTAAAAGTTTTTTTTGGTATGCTGCATCTCCCTCTGTCTGTCTATATATCTGTGCTTTACTAGTGCCTGAACAGATTTCGTTCATAATCAGTATTAAATAGTTTATTTCCCATAGGTTGGTTCCCATATTTCCATATTTGGACTTAATTTGTCCTGTGGTAGACCTGTTACTGAGAGAAATAGATTCCACAGTGTAACAGTTTTTGCAGTTTTGTTTTTATGTCATGGAGGCAGGATATGTTACTCAGTATACCAGTTGCCTACAAACTGGATGGTCAAGGAATGAGGGTTCAATTTCCAGTACAGGCAAGAAGTTTTTCTCTTGTCCAGTGCATCCAGCCTGGCTCTGAGGTTGACCCATTTATATCTTCAGTGCATATTAGGGCTCCCTGGGACATGAAGAAGACCACTCATCTCCATCTATTGCTCAGGTTAATAATGCATGGAACAGACCTCCACTTCCCCATACATCTTGATGGCATGGTGCTTAATGAAGTAAGCACAGGGACAGCTGTTCTTCTTGCCTTTATATATCATATGCGTGTTCCTTTTCCCAGAGAATGGTTGAAGCTGGCCAAAATTTCTGCAAGTTATAGGAAAGAATTTTCGTAATAAAGTGAAAGTTGCAGTATCCGGGACAAGAGCATTGCTGGATATCATAATTTTCCAGGTATTAGGAACCTATTGTGTATTGTAGTATAAGCTGCTAGTCTCATGGATGGTCCTAACCATTTAACTTGTCACTTGATATGCAGGCCTGTTTCCCTAGTTTGCACTTTCTGTTCCCGTTTCATCACTGTGTACACAGCATTTCTTTCAATCATTATATTCACAGTTAGTCAAATTCTAGTTAATAAGAGTTTTCCAGATCAACTAGTGCTGGATATTGCAGCTGTTACTGTACTTAAAGAAGTGATTGTATGCTCATATATATATTTTTTATTGTTTATTTCAGTCGCTGCTAACAATTCCATTGGAACAAACCCCAACTGGGAACTCCTGGCACCGAGGGGTTACCGCTTCTACATGCCTGGCAGTGTTGGCCCAGCATGGCATGATGCTTACACCACTGTACATACACAGCAGTTTGAATCTGCAAGTTCTCATGAGACTAGAAAGAAGGTGCAGAAGTATTTTCAGTAGATGGTTCATCTTATTACTTTCATACCATGTTGAAAACCTTGGTTGTCTACTGGTGAATGAGAGTAGTAGGCTATTTGATGATGTCTCAGTTGCAGAGGTATAATATCAGATGGATTGCAAGAACAATTATGAATGATATACAGGACAGAATGATTGAGGGGTGAAGTACTTACAACCAATTGAAGTGTGTTATTCCACCACTTGCCTATAGGGGTCAATAAAAATAATGAAAGTTTCTGTCAGGAAAGCTGGCTGCAGTTGATATGTAGCTAATGAAAATCAGGTGGGACTGAAATTAAATGGGAGGCATCAACTGCTGGTCTATGCTGATGACGTAAACCTACTGGATGATAAGATAGATACCATAAAGAAAAAGACAGAAACATTAATTAGCAAGGAGGTTGGTCTAGAAGTAAAAACAGAGAAATTTAAGTATATGTTGCTGTCTCATGCACGGCAATATCATGATAAAGATAGGTAACGGATGTTTTGAAAATAGGACACAGTTCAAATATTTGGGAACTACTGTAACAACTCAAAACCTGATTCAGGAGGAAATTAAGAGGAGATTGAACTCTGGTAATACTTGCTAGCATTCAGTCCAGAACTTTTCATCTTCTCGTCTACTGTTTAAAAATATAAAAATTAGAATATACAAAACTGTAATTTTGCCTGTGGTTCTCTATGGGTGTGAAACTTGGAATGAAGTGACAGGAGGTTAGAGAAAACTGCATAATGAGGAGCTTCATAAGTTGTATGCTTCTCCAAGTGTAAGTAGAATGATCAAGTCAAGGAGGATGAGATGGTAATGGCATGTAGCATGAAATGGGGGTGAAGAGAACACATGTAGGATATTGGTGGGAAAGCCAGAAGGAAAGAGACCACTGGGGAGACCAAGATATAGGTGGGTGGATAATATTAACACTTTGCGGACCGGCGATTTAAATACTTAAATCACCCTGGGGACCGGAATTTTTAAACCTACTACCCTTATTTGTGAACTGTTCATTTTAAAATTAATATAAAATCTCCTAATTAATTTTATGAACTAAAATTTTTGGAGAACACTTACCAATGCCCCTAGAAGTGCGTGAGAGTGTGATATTTCTGGAAACATTCCCCTTTGTGAAGTGGCATTACACAGAACTTGCACATGTAGACAGTCATACTTCTTTTGTTGTGTACTGCGCAGACACGGCATCACCTAGAAGGCTGCTTCCCCTTGGCATGTTCACTCTTCACAAATTTCACGAGGGTATGTTTCTGCATATCACGTGAGAGTCGCCCAGGGGGGTCCACATGAGGCCTCCGTGGGGTGGGAGTTGATGGGCCCAGTCGTACTAAGTCTGTGTCTGCCACCGGTTCTGCTGCCACCGTCTGGTCTGTAGCCCAGGCTTTTGCCACATTCAGCAAAAATGCCTTGTATTTCAATTTTGACTGAGGGTTTAGATTTCTGAAAACCAAAAATGAATTGAAAATGGCACAATTTATAAGCCACAAGGCAACTTTCTTTGTCTACTTTACTGTTTTCTGAGGAAGAGAATAATAGGCCAAGTACTGATCGGCTCTATCAACTTCCTTCATGAACATATTATACTCGGAGATACAAACAGGCTTCTTTACCTGTCCATGTCTCCGTTGAACATCAACCATGCTTGAATTGTGAATTGTGGGAAAACAGTTCCGCTACTTCAGACACTTGCGTTGGGTCCGATGGAATTTGCTTCACCCCTGGATTTCCAGTAAACTGTCCTAAAGCAGGCATTTTGTCTACTTTTCCCCATGTGGCTGTCCCTGCAATGTTTCTACCCGCACTTTCGTCAGAGCTACTGTCACTTTCACTGTCTGTGGCCACAATTTTTTCTTCGCCCTTGCCACACTCACTATCAGATTGTGAGCCGCTATCACTAGCAGACTCACAAAGGATGTCAGATAGCTCATCGGAGAACAAGTCAGATATTTCTTGATCTCCAAGAAAACGCTTGGACCTCAACCTCTTCCGACCTTAATCCATTTTGCACTAGTAACTTCATGCCTGCTGCATGCAGCTCGAAGATGAGAAGATGAACAAAGGCATTTTCTTTTGGAGTGGGAAAGGAAAACAATTGGGTCATAAAGAGTGGGGTCATGTTACTGACTATGGAGCAAACATTCAAGAAGTCTATCACACGCCAGTCATGCGTCTGCCTGGTGCCAGTGCACGGTATAGTGTGTTTTAACATAGCGTGTCCTAAAATCATAATAAAATGCCACCGGTCCACCATGTTTAAAAGCACTGGGCATAAAAATATGCCACTGGCCTGCAAAGTGTTAAAATAGATCTTAGAGAGACAGGATGGGATTGCTGGATTGGATTGATGTGGCACAGGATAGGGACCAGAGGAGGGCTCTTGTGAACACAGTAATGAACCTTTGGGTTCCATAAAATGCTGGGAAATTCTTGAGAAGCTGTACAATTGGCTGCTTCTCAAGAATGGCTGAGCTCCATGAAGTTACTGTTTTCATTTGACTCAACCTCACTGGATGTACTGGTGTGTCACAACAACAGTCAAATATAATACTTGATTTTAAGTTGAAGCTGTTGCTTTATGTTCCAGGCTTCAGAATATACTGTGGATTGTGTAGCTCAAGACTGTCCCATGCTTCTGAGAAGAGGTATATTATAATACATTATCTATATGCTGTATATAATTCAGAGTATGTCTGTCTGTCACTCCTGTTTATCAGAAACTGATATTTGTAGCAGGTAAGAGTAAATGCAAAAATCATTCATTTCAAGAAGGAAAACAGCAAAATTTGGGTGTAGACTAGATTGAAATGGCTCAGGATGGGGTATGCTGCCAGGTTGTGGTGAACAGTAATGAGCATTTGGGTTCCATAAAAATTTGTTGAATTTCTTGATCGTCTGAGAGCAGTTATCATCTTTTTAAAAAATAACCATGCTTCGTTGAGTTTTCTTCAAATAACAATAGGTGTGTGATTTAATAATAAGAGAAGAACTGATAGGGGAAGATAACAGCAGAAATGCATTTTATGAGGACTGTGATATACAACGCCATAAAAGATATGAAGAAATTACGAATGAACTACAAATTCCATAGTAAATAGAATTTATAGATCAATGCAGAATAAACTATAAAGAACACATTGACCAGATGAGCTCTGACAGGATTTCAAAAACTATCTTAAAAATCGAACAAAAAGGAAAAGTAAATTTGGAAGTCTCTGAAATTATAGAAGAAATCTGTTCTGTAACAGGTTTCAATAGACAGAACTAGAAGGGATGATTATAATAATAATGTTGAATAAGTTATTAAAAAACAATGAGTAATGCATCGTTAAAGCAGTTTTACGAAGCTGCATAACGTTGCTGTAATTCCAGGACGCTTGTGAAGAAGTAAACGTTTTGGACATGTATTTTGAAGGAATACAGTAAAAGCTATACATGGAATTGTTGTGTACATCGTTATGAAATCTGTTAAACAAAATTTTGAATATTTCACTTCCTTCTTGCTTTAATGTTATGACTGTACTTGGATTGTAAATGTATTACTTATGTTGCCATAAATGTAAATTATTTTTGCAAACATCCCCTTTTTATGTATTACATAATGTGTATATTTCAGGTGTGATGGAGCTGTTCCCAGGCACTGACATTGGAGGGTCTGACCTTACAATTGTTACATTATCGCAGAAAACAACTACTGACTTAAGCCACACAGGCAGTGAGGAGGAAACTGAGCGGGAGAAAGTTACAAAATTTGTAAGAAATATGACATTATCCATATTATGTAGGTATTGCTGGAAAACAATACTGATGTGGTTATGCAAGTCTGCATTATGTAGTGTAGTTTAGTTCCCTGTCCATTTCTGGAAAGGTTACAAATAGAGAAAGCCACAATGAGGTATGTTCTTTCAGAGGCAAGAGTTTGTGGAATTGTGAGTCTATGTCTTGCATGCACCGAGGAATCACTGNCGACTCACGGAGGGACATTTCCACTTGTATTCCCCCCACGGGGAAGAAGGCAGGGCCGCACAGAAGTGTGGTTAGAAAAAAAAAAAGCAAAAGTAAAGATACGCAGTATTGGTTTGGTGAATGTGAGCCAGCGCTGTGTTTAGACTAATGCTTCAAGGCGTCACCTGCTTACATAGCCGAGATACCGGGTGCTCATATTATAAGGCAAGGTTATAAAACCATCTTTTAAGATCATTTTAGTGAAAGTTTCATCCTTCAAAGCGTACCATTCACTGCTCAAATACTAAACAACCTGCTTCCATTGAAGATATAAAGGGGGTTCATATTATAAGGTAAGGTTATAAAACCACCTTTTAAGATCATTTTAGTGAAAGTTTCATGTTCCTATCTCATAGAATTTAAGAACAATGATGAATAAATAATTTTCGAGCAAAATTTAAATGGGCGGCTGAATATATTACCGCAGGAGCCGCGGCCGCGGAATTTAAATGACCACGTCAAAGGGTTAATGTTATGACTGTACTTGGATTATAAATGTATTACTTATGTTGCCATAAATGTAAATTATTTTTGCAAACATCCCCTTTTTATGTATTACATAATGTGTATATTTCAGGTGTGATGGAGCTGTTCCCAGGCACTGACATTGGAGGGTCTGACCTTACAATTGTTACCTTATCGCAGAAAACAACTACTGACTTAAGCCACACAGGCAGTGAGGAGGAAACTGAGCGGGAGAAAGTTACAAAATTTGTAAGAAATATGACATTATCCATATTATGTAGGTATTGCTGGAAAACAATACTGATGTGGTTATGCAAGTCTGCATTATGTAGTGTAGTTTAGTTCCCTGTCCATTTCTGGAAAGGTTACAAATAGAGAAAGCCACAATGAGGTATGTTCTTTCAGAGGCAAGAGTTTGTGGAATTGTGAGTCTATGTCTTGCATGCACCGAGGAATCACTGTGTGGCACCAGGATGGTAAATACTGGGACATTGGTTAGCAATATTGTCTTAACAAATGAGCAGAACTTGGATACGAATACAGGGGTTGGATAAAAAGTAGTGGCAACACTACTGTAACATGAAAGATGTGTGTCACGTGGCACTAGCGCCATCTGTAGCTGATAGCACAAGTTCAGTTGAAGTAGTGCAGTGGGTGGTTCTGGACGAAACTTGGGTTCTCTCATACGAACCACACTTGAAGCGACAATCAAATGAATGGAAGCATCCTGGCTCTCCTCGTCCAAAGACACGAGAGTAATGTGAAGGCAATGTTCATTGTGGCATACGACATTGATGGAGTGATACTGCACCACATTGTACCTCAACGACAGACAGTAAACACTGCCTACTATTGCAATTCCCTGCGTAATCATCTTCTTCCAGCACTCAGGAGAAAGCAATGAAACTTGTTGACAACAAACATCATCATCCTTCATGACAGTGCAAGGGCTCATACTGCTGACTCAGTCAAGGATCTCCTTCGCCGCTGGCGATGGGAGATACNGTTTACCTCAGATAATAAAGTGATTTCAGAACTACAGAGCTGTTGCCACTACTTTTTATCTGACCTTTTTATGTATATTCAGAACATTGTTATAATAAATAACAGTTGTATTATACCAGTAGACTTTAAATGGACCTATGATAACTTTTCTTTGGTGAGTGGGAATATATTGTCATGTGTTAGCGGCCAAACCAGGGGTTTAGATTAATTATTGAATGTACTGAATGTTTATGACATGTAACCACAAATAACTATAACACACTCATTGTTCTGTACCTTCTACAAATCTCTACAGCACTCACTAAGTCTTCTTAGTTCTGTCTTTACTGGTCGTTGCCTGGTAGTGGCTTATAATGGGTGAATCCTCTGCTTCCCTATCTGTGGCCAGGCACCAGCTGCAAGTGCACACTCACAAATAACTAGCTTGTCCCATTGGTTCTCGCTAAATGGCCTTGGCATGGGCCACACAGAAAACACTGGTTCCCATGATTCTTCTGTTGTCGTATGTGTACCTGTTGCAATGTGTTTGTGTTTACTGAGTTGTTGCCTAGTAACAGACATCTCGGGCTTCTCAGGCATCATCTCACAATATATTCATAGGATTGTCAAAATAAACAGTTTCAGTGTGTAGGATTTGAGGTTTTCACAGTGGTGGTTATTAAGAATTCTAATCTCTGGGATATAACACTGAATAGTCTATTGAAAGTCAACAAGTGTTTCAGGGGAACATGTCTCTTCCATCTTCATGGTCAAAGCACAGGCCAAATGAGAAACCAGCAAGGAGCAGGTAGCATGCAGAGCCTCTTCAACCCTGAAGATGGAGGTGACATGTTCTTCGAAAACATCAAGTGACTTTTAGCAGACTACACATTGCCATCTGTGAGCTGATTGTCTAGAAAATGTGGGGGCCATGATGTCTCAACCCTGTGGACCTTCACTGCCTGTTACAGGGATGAGTTTACCTTTTATGCAGTACTATATCCCAGAAGATAGAACTCTTGAATCAATATTGTTATTTCAATAGAGTTTACTTCAAGAGAAACCCAGGTGAATAAATGCCACTTTTGTTTGTTGTTGTAGAATGATGTCCATGTGATAATACGGGTAGAAAGACCTGAACACAGTTGTGTGTGTTACATTTTCAGTAGAATGTCTATTTCCTGCTGATTATGCAGTCACATTCTTTGGTCTTCAGCCATCCAGCTATGCAACATCATGTCTCACTCTTTGCATTTACTCTGCCCTCTAGACAGGAGACAGGACAGCTCTCATCTACATCATAAGCGTTACCAACTTACAAATGCTATAACTGTTAATGTACCAATGTAAGAAGCTGTAACATTAGTGTAATATTAAACTTCATTCATCTGAAATATGTGTGTGTGGTTTTATTAGTTTGTTCTAGCAGCCCAGGAGGTGTGCATGAAACTAAGACTTGCTGGCTATTGGGCAGACTTCATTAACCCATTCTCTGGTCGACCATACCTCACTCCATTTTATTCAACACCATATTATGAAATAGATGGAAGATCATACTGCTTGGATTTCGTGATAAAGGATCATGGTGACTGCAAAGTTATAAGCAGTAAGCATGAAAAATCTCACAGTTATGTAGGTAAGTGTTATGAATGACAAGAATTTGCAGAGCTATTGAAATTATTGTTAAATAAAGGATGTGAACATGCAGTTTAACTCTGTTGAGGAAACATTTTGTCATATATATGAGTTCAGTGGGACTGAACTTTTTCAAGCCTTGATGCTTCCTGCCAAGTATTCTTTTTTTTAAGTATTGTATACAAGAACTTTTTTTTAATCCGCTGTCTTCATGCTTGCTGGCTGGCAAACGTGCTTGCTCCCTTTAGTTGTAAACATCTCTTCAGATCAGCTAATAAGTGTGATTTGAATTGAAAGTAACAAAGATAATGTGTCAGTTTGTACGTCTACAGAAAGTGATGTGGATTGTGCACAAGAAGTGATAATAAATGAAAGCAAGAAGGCGAGGTTAATGGCCGAGTTTCAGATACGACACCTTTATTAGTTGTGAATGGGCACTGGAAATTGGTTACTTAATTGCAGCAACATAAATTCCTGTAAATTACCATTTACAGAGACAACTGGTCCATGAAAAACTCTTCAGTAATTTCTTTTTGCCATTTTACTTTTTTGTAAAGTGGTTGTAGATTTGAATATGCAGGAGACATGGTATCATAGTTGGTTGAGGCACTATGCTACAAGCTGGAAGGTCATGGGTTCAATTCCCAATGAGGTCATTGCATTTTTCAGTTGATCTCATTCTTCCAACTGTGCTATGGCCCTGGGATCAACGCAGTCTCTAACATAAATAAGTACCAGGAATCTTCCTGGGGTGGTTAATAGTGGCCAGTGCATAAGACTGACAACCTCACTGTCATCTGTGAGCCGATTGTCTAGAAAATATAGGAGCCTCCATGGTCTGTTACAGGGATAGGTAGGAGACCAGCATGTATGTAGGCACTATAAGTCAGCTGAACACTGAAGCCTAGATTTCACATGAGAAACTGCTAACCAATGAAGAATTTTATGGCTCACTTTCCATTATATATTATATGCTGATGGGTGTCACATGTAAAATTACTGTAATGAGTCATTTTAGTGGGGGTGTGTCTAAACACCCATATTAAATGAAATTATGACATGACAGGTTCAAAATTATTTAAAAACTTCTGAATATCATTGACAGTAACACCAAAGACACGTATTGTGAACCGGCAAAGCTTTTTAAAATCCATGTCACAATTGAAATTCTCATCAGCATTTTGATTCCGCTTAACTTACAGAAGGAAATGTGGCTATTGATGAGTGTCTGTCTCATGGCAGGAGGTTTTCTGACAGTAACTAGCACTCACTTGTGACTCAACATCTGGTTACCTTTGGGATTTGATCGTGTGCTTTGGGGCTGGAAGTGACATTATCACAAGTGTTGGTGTACCTGACAGTCTCAGAAGTTCCAGGATTGTTGCAAAACTTACAGAATTTCTGCTAGATAGGGAACATTCTTTTGTATGGCTAAATACTATAATTCACCATTCTTAGCTGCTTTGCTAAGAAATCATGGGGTATATTAGCAGGAACCCTCCACCTGAAAAGGAAAAGTGTCCCAGCTTTTTATGAAAGCAAAATGAACTGAAGAAGGGTGAAGTTCTTTCTGCAGAAGTTGGTGGCATTAAGGTCATGAAATGGAAAGACAAAAAAGATGTTGCTTAATTAAGCACAGTGTCATGAAGATGTATGGGGGAGTGGAGGTATAGCTTCACCATTCTTGATCTCGGCCATAGATGGAAGTGAGTGATCTGCTTCATGCTTAGGCTGCTGTTCCCCCAGGGAAGAACGATTTGCTCATTATATAGGAGGCTGGGTGGACCTCAGAGCTGGTCTAGATGCTATGGAAAAGAGAAAAATCTGTTGCCCCTGCTAGGATTCAAACTCCAGTTTCTTAGCTATCTAGCCGTAGCCCTAGAATATATTGCCTGAGATGACCTGTGACCTGCAGTGACACCTTAACTATCTGTGATGTTGGTGTTACAAAAGCTCTCTGTGTAAGGGATTACATCTTTTCAGTGCTGGGTGTATATAAAGATCAGAAGTTGCAGCCATTATAGAAAGGAAGAGAGGAATGAAATGGTATATGAAGTTTTTCAGACATCTACTAAATATTGCCATCCACAATGCATGCCAACAATCCAATAGTGCCTGTCATCTATAGCGAAACCACTCCTTCAAACCATCTTAACTACAGGCTTGACTTGGTGAAAACAGGAGATGTCACAAGCAAACCATAGATTCCAATTTCTCCTGGTGCTGGAAGACAATGAATAAATTCACCACAGAAGCTTTGGGAAAGACAATTTATTGAGAAGATTTCTCAAATAGGGAGGAAGACAGAACTGTAAAAAGGTGTATATTGTGTTGCAGGAGGGAATATAAAAGATAGGGAACAACATATTAAATGTCCAGACTATGAGATGGGCCTATGTTATGAGACCTACTTCAAGGAGTTTAATATGGAACTAAGTTTATAGGAGTGATGTGAAATGGAGTGAATTCCCAATAGGAAAATGCTATAAGTATAATGAAATTAGTACCATTATTGATATTTCCACAAAATTATATTAAGTTTTGTTGGATAGTTCACACAGTATGGCACAATATTTGACAGGATGAGAATAGGGTGCTATACGGAAATTTAAATAGCCCTCGAGAGTTAGGTGCAGTGGCTTAAGGGTTTAACATAAAATTGAGCAGGTCAGCAGGAGGTAGTGCATCAGACTTATATTTTGAAGAAACCCACTTTAAATTTTGTTAGGTATCATTTAGAGAGGGGGGTTGTGGTTTTCTTCAGTTCTGTCACATTAAACCATTTTAATATTCTGTGTCAGTTGAGTGTATGGTCACATGTTTTCAGAAGGCACTTAACATCAAACTCTAGTAGTATGTAAGTTTTCATGAGTGACAATCTTGATGTATAAAGTCATTCCTTTTCCAGTACACATGATATAGCTGTGTACTACTTATAGTCACAGATGAATCACTAGCATTTTCAAAATGACTGTTGACCAGAGATTCTTAAGAAAAATATTCTATTTGCTGTACATTATGAAGGAATGTCTTCATGTAGGTGGATTTCAGTGATCACTTATAAAGCGTTTTGCTACTAAAATATCATATTATATAGGTGTCTGTTTACATGTTTGCAGGTAGCCTGTTCACCACAGCACCAGCCAGTACGACTCTACTACGGGATATTCTAGATCAGTATGAATAAATAATAGAAGTGAATACTTTCTCTGTACTTCACTCCATATACAGTGAAACTCCCATTTAAGGTTTGTTTGGGGAAACATTGGATTTAACACTTCAGTGTGGCAGCATTTGAACCCTGTCCAGAGTGTGGTGTGGGATGATCTTGCCGGGCATTCAGTTTTTGCAGATAGTAACTAGAAAATCAGAATCTTTATTGAAATATTCTTAGTGTGTTACATCTCAGAACAGTATTCACATATAGTACGATGACAGAGTTTGGGCACAGACGCACTCTTTCTAGTCTTGTCCCATGTTCTTTGCACACAACAAGCTGCCGTGAGTTTTGTTGGAGGTCATTCTCCTGGGGAAATGTCAGTCTCTTAGTATTGCTTCACAGGGTCTTGTCACTTTGTTTTGTGGTGACTGGTCTTATTTCATCACCATGGAATGTTGATATTGCTACAGTGTTCTTATCACTGCATGTTATAACACACAGTTCCAGTGTGATGTGCAATAATTTCACCTCATTTTAGTTTTGGTGTTATATTTTCCCTGTTTAATTTTACTGTTACCTTCTTCAGCATTTACAAAATGTAGCTGTTTACTGTGTATCAAATACCTTGACCTAGACACTAACATTGTAGTTCCTATACTGACATTGAAGACCGGGGAATGAATGTATGAATGTATAAGGGGTGAGTCTTCTTGGCCCTTGCACCGCGACCACAGTGAACTATTGTGCCTAAGACTGGGGAACATAAGAGAAAATTAAAAATGTACATCTAGATATCAAATGAATGTGGGATTTTAACTGTGTGTGTGTGTGCATTTTGAAATGGTATACTGAAGTTGGAAGTTGGGATGGCTCTGTCAGTATAGTGATGGGCTAAGAGCTGGACTGCCTGGGTTCGATTCCCAGCGTGAGAAAGATTTTTTCTCCACAGCATCCATACCAGCTCTGGGACCCACTTAGCCTCCCATCCAATGGGTACTAGGAGTGATTTTCCTGAAGGTAAAGTGGCCAAGGAATGAAGCTGACCACTTACCTACATCTAGTGCCAGGGTCAAGAATGGTGGAGCTACACCTCCACTCACCCATATGTCTTCATGCTGTAGTGCTTAATTAATTAGCACAGGGACAACTTTACCTTTTATACTGAAGTCATATGAGATGGAAGTATGATGCAAGTGCTCTATAAGTGATTCAGTGAAGGTATTTATGAACTGCGTCAGTCTCAAAGTATAATCTTTTTTTTTTTTCTTTCTTGTCAACATAAAACTGGTCTCTGCCTTTAACCACATGAATGGCATCTGAAGTAAGACAGATGGAAGAACTGTACATGTCTGTTCAGTGCTGTCATACAAAGCGTCTTAGAAATACAAGGCCAAAACTTACTGTCAGAGTACACTCTGTTAAACACCACATGAGTACAATTTGTATATTGGAAAGCAAGATCATTCAGTCCTCATTCACACTGTATGATGATGTACGATGAAATGTTTCTATAGTTTGTTGAGAAATGAAGTTACAAATAAACTGCTTGTATGCTATGAGTATAGTTGCCGTCCAATTGGTGGTTCCAAGTGCAGTTCTTCAGCATTGAAGGGTTAAATACTGAACTGAGGAAAATCTTAATTGGAGGAAGTTCAGCACTAGGATATTTGATTTGGGATCACAGAAGTTCAACCCTGAATCCAGAAACATTAATTGGGGGTACCAATTTGCTGTTATAATTTAGTCAGCTGAAATTTATTTATAATATATGTAGTTTGTGATGGTTATGATGTATTCAGTGAAAATTATAAAAAATTGAAATCCCCTAAAACCCCTGTTCACATTAAATAAAATAAAATATGCCTGTATGGTAGTAAATTTGTTTTTAGTTTGATGTACATTAGTAGATCCAAATACCAGAAGTTCCTAGCCCCTTCCTGAACATTTGGATTTGCTACATTGATTGAGCTGTCTTTCACAGAATAAGAGCCAGCCTAAGCAGTGTAAAGGTGAGGGACATAAGATGTGCCCAAGTTAGAGCTTGAGCTTGAGCTTGAGCTGAGCTGGTGGCAGTGTCATTAAATAAGCCAGAAATAAAAAGAAACTTGAGTTTGAGTTAAAGCAGACCATACTGCAAAATTAATGTTTACTAGCATTAAGAAGAGGGAAAGTACTTTATTTTTATAATTTTTTTAGATAAATACATGACTACAAACATTTTTCATGTTCTGTTTCATAGTGACACCGATTGAACCTAATACAGAGATTAAATGAGTAGGAAATGTAGCAAGAATATTAATAAAATGGACGTTTGTCTGTGATCACCTCCTAACTTCTTGTACTGCGGCCACTTCTGGCCTATTGTACCAGCCCTAGATGATAGGTGAGGGTGATTGTGGAGTAATTGGTGGAATGAAGATTGGCAGGGGAAACTGAAGTACTCGGAGAAAACCTGCCCCAGCACCTCTTTGTCCACCACAAATCCCACTTGACCAGACCCCGGGATCGAACCCGGCCACCGTGGTGGAAAGCCAGCGACTAACTGCTTGAGCTATGGTGTGGCCACCTCGTAACTTGCTGATGCTTGTTATTTCCACAGTAAACTGATATATTGTCACTCACTCACCTCTATCTTTAATGCAATTTAAAACTGTTCACAGTCACTCTTTAATTTAAAGTTACACAAGGATGTACACTCAACTAGTGAGAACATATATCGTATGGCGATAGCATCTGTCCTAGCATTTCCATGGTAGTAACTCTTCTGGATTCCAAACATGTGACATTATGTAGGGGGCACAAACATGAACACCACAAAAGGAAAGTAATGCGGAACAGATTGTTTTGTTCTGAAACTCATTTCTCTTCATAGGCATGTTGGGCTATTTTGGATTTTTATAGAAGACCCTCTTCGAGATTGTGCCTATGTTCATAGAGCCGCATGGCTACTGGTCTGGCCTTTTTGCCAATGTGGCTTATGCCACATTCACAGCAAATGTTGTAGATGCACTGTGCCATCTGTTGCAGATCTCTTTCTGCCTTGATTTTCATGAGTGCAGTCCTAAGAGAGTATTTAGTTTTGAAGATCATCCTAATGTCATAGCATTTCCTTATACATTTGAACTTTTCTGAAACACCCTTCACTAATGGGATATATAGAGAGCCCAAAGGTTTTACCTGTTTATTTGGACCTCTGCTACTACATGAGTCAATGAAATCTCAGGAACAACCAGTGAGCTGAAAATCACGTCTAAGGCTAATAATTTCATTACACAGATCTTGTCATACTTGGCATATAGTGGAAGCACTATTATGAATACTGAATTGAACCTATTCTCACGTGTGGCAGTTGGTTAGATTTCAAGTTCTGATATTGCTGCAGTGTGGGAGGGTTTCCTGTGAACTTTGGTGGCCAGTGTCATTCCTTTCCTGAGGACCAGAACTTCAAGAAAAGGAATAACACTGATTCTGTCTCCGTAATGAACTGGATGGAAGGCTTTAAACTGTTTATGTGGCTGATGAAATTATGTAACTCTTCTGGGCCATGAGTCTTGACCACAAATGTGTCGTCAAAATACTGGAGTCACAGCAATGGTTTGTATTGTGCTGAATCGAGCCAGTTTCTCAAAATGCTCCAAGAAGGTGCTAACAGTGGGTGTTAGAGAGCTTCCCATAGTCATACCATGCTCGGGTGCTTAGTGTAAGCCAGTTTTTCTTTCCAATGGTGAGGGGGTAGCCAGAAAGTGTTCCCACATACTTATTATTGAGATAATTTTTATTACATGTCAGAATATTCATGATGGAAGAACAATTTTTTTTAAATACTCATATTTTTTGTGTTAATATTTGGTGTACGGCCGCCGCCTTTTCTTTCAATTTTAATTTCTCGGGCTGCGGAATGGGGTGNCCCCCCCCCCCCACACTCACAAACTCAACCGCTGTGAACGACGAACTGGCGACGCCAGCTGTAATATTATTTCTTACCAAAAGAAGATGGCAGTGTAGTCAACGTGTACAGACAAGCTTGCAGCAAGTTACGTGTAGATAGAAGTAAAATGAGTCTGTGCTTGGAAATGACGAAGCGTCAGTGTTGCGGACCTTGCGGATGCTGAGGACGAAAGCAATAATGTGAAATAGTGTAAAGAATTTTGATGTGTGAAGGAAATATGTGTGATGTGTTAATGGTTACATTAAGATGTATGCCTTGAGCTGGTGATTATGTTAATTATGGAAGTAGAGGTAAGTTAGAAACTTGTTCACAAGCAAAAATTGGTTCCTTTGGTTAAAATAGTAGTTATTGTGTAAGGATAATGTGTATGAATAAGTTCCTGCTCGTATTTTTGAACTGTATTCTGTGTATGGAGGTTAGGCTCAGCCTCATAGTTTTATTCGCTGGGTTGCCTGCATTAGAATATGCTATAATTATTATCACTGTTAGGTCTCTGTTATTGAAATCTGTAATCAGTGTAGGCTCGGCTTCTTTGTGCATCATCGTTATTCCCAGAATAGGTTATGTTAATAAAGTTAGGCCTGTATGACATAAGGGTGGGTAATATCAGTTATAGTTACTATCGTTCCCAGGGAAATGTTAAGGGTTGAGAAAAGCACAACTGCATTGATTATTGTCTGTCGAAAACGTCTGTGAGGGTACGTCAGAACTTGAATTGCCAACCTTGCGGAAGAAAACCCAAGTATGTTGAATGAGATCTCCAGTATAGTTTTTTTGGTTTAGTAACTTTCTGATGTCGTTCTTTGAATGCTGTGAGTAAAATGAACGCGTTTCAGGCAGGTGATGGCACTTATGTCTCTGTCTGCCTTGCTTTCTTCAACTTGAGGATGAAATTTGATAAGGACATTATGTCACTGAAGGCTACACCAAACTCATACTTTTTAATTTCCTACAGTTAGTAGTACCAGCATGACATACATGAAATTGTGAGATCCGGGTGACAGTAGCACCATCTAGTATAGCTTCCTGAAATTGTATAAGGTTAACATCTATGAAAAATATGCAACTTTTGTTAAGGTATTTTTTTTCCTTGTAGGATTTAATATTGTTATAGTAATAACTATGAAAGGACATAATTCTCTGTAGTCTGGTAAAAAGAAGCTTGCCACTTGTGTCTTTCTGGCTACTTTGATGCGCTACTTTTCAACCCTAAAGATGGAAGCAGTATGTTCTCTGGAACGCGGATGATCGTCTGCAGACTACATGGCATTACAGCTCAGGAGATAATAGTCCCTGCCCCCCCCTTCTTTTTGAAAACTGCAAGGAAACAAAATGACAGCTGCATGGAATTCACGTTTAAATTTTGTTTTAAGAGCAATTGCTAGTGAACCATGGAATAATGGATAGAAACATTAGTGTTAGAAGTGGAAACTGTGATAAATAAACTTGACATAACTGAGCAACAACATTATAGACATATGGTCACAAAGACAATAAAAAGATTAACTAAGAGGTTAATATAAACAGGATAAGAAATAAAACAGAAGAAACTAATAAGAAATAAATTTTTAGAAAATGAACTTACCATAACAAAAGCAGATAAAGGAAAGACTGTAATTATACTTTCAACAGAAATCTGCACACAAAAAGTGAACAACTTCATACAAGAGAATCAGTTCACATTACTCAGTAACAGTCCCACTCAAAACTATCAAAAAACTATAAAACAAACAGTAGTACAATGTATAAATATTATAAAAAAAGAAAACAAATGGAAATATATAAACATGAACCCCCCCCCAGTCCCAAATCTCCATGCCACAATGAAACTGTACAAACAGAATACACCTCTTTGACCAATAATTAATTGGAGGAATGTGCCTGCATATGAACTAGTAAATTATCTAACACGAGCATTACACAGTTGTTTACAAACAAACAAACTCCGTGATTTTAGTCCACAAGCGAACTATACTGACCGAGCGACTGCCACTTGTCAGCGAAGTTCAGTGCCGACTTTTGCGGATAGAGGGTGTCACATGGTCAGTGCAGTGAATCCCCACGGCTGTCAATTTCGGTTTCTATCCAAAACATACAACATTCAAAACTCTGTACATTTAACTACAGACTTACAATCCATATAAATTACTGAAGATGGGAGAATGTGTTCATCCAACATTGGTAATATGTATACTTACTTACTTACTTACTTACTAAGCAGCCTCCGTAGTCTAGAGGTAACGTTTCCACCTCATGACTTGTAGTACGCGGGTTCAAATACCTGGCGGAGGTCGTGGAATTTTTAAGGGCGGAAAAATTCAGGGAACAAGTCCTCCAGGAGGGACTTTAAGCCATGGGTCCCATGTCGTAGCTTTACGGCACGTAAAAGAACCTCATATCTCCAAAGGAGGTCACTGAGCCAAATTAACGGACGTTTCCTGCCCAATAGCAGTCTCTAATACCTCTGGTAGATGGGGGAAGCATTAGAGATACCTCTCAGCTAGTAGAGCTGGTCTCACTGGCTGTGCGGGACTGATGGTAAGCACCAGTACCAGTAGGATATAGAGACTGGTAGAAATCATAGAGGGAAGCACAATGGACCAATACAGGTCTCAGTGCATGGGGAAACTCACCCTCTCCAATAACTAACTAACTAACTACTTACTTACTCATGGAACTGAGCCCTTCTGGAGGAGCCGCCAAATCTGCAGCTACTCAAGAATTTCCCAGCATTTTATGGAACCTGAAGGTTCATCACTGTGTTCACAAGAGCCCTCCACTGGTCCCTATCCTGAGCCAGATCTATCCAATCCATACCATCCCATCATATCTCTCTAAGATCCATTCTAACATTGTCCACCCACCTACGCCTCGGTCTTCCCAGTGGTCTCTTTCCTTCTGGCTTTCCCACCAGTATCCTATATGCATTCCTCGTCTCCGTCATTCGTGCTACATGACCTGCCCACCTCATCCTCCTTGACTTGATCATTCTAATTATACCTGGACAGGAGTACAAGTTATGAAGCCCCTCATTATCCAGTTTTCTCCAACCTCCTGTCACTTCATCTCTCTTTGGTCCAAATATTCTCAAACACCCTCAGTTGATGTTACTCCCTTAATGTCAGAGACCAAGTTTCACACCCATACTGAACCACCACAGGCAAAATTATAGTTTTGTATATTCTAATTTTTATGTTTTTGGACAACAGACGAGAAGACAAAAGGTCCTGGACTGAATGGTAGCAAGTATTACCCGAGTTCAGTCTCCTCTTAATTTCCTCCTGAATCAGGTTTCAATCTGTTATCGTTGTTCCCAAATATCTGAACACTGCCACATTTTAAAAACATCTATTTCCTATCTTTATGTCATGATTTTGCCCTGCAATTTGGTGATGAGATAGCAACATATACTTAGTTTTGTCTGTGTTTACTTCTAAACCAACCTCTTTACTTGCGTCAATTAAAGTTTATGTTTTTTTTATGGTATCTACATTATCACCCAGTAGATTCACGTCATCTGCAAATGGCAACAGCTGACGTGTCCCGTTTAATTTCAGTCCAACCCGGTTTCTCTGGACCTTCTTAATGGCATATTCTAAAGCAAAGTTGAAAAGGAGTGGTGATAAAGCATCTCCTTGTTTTAGACCATTCTGGGTAGGAAGTTTATCAGACAAATGTTTACCTACATGGACTTCACTATACATTTCATTTAAACACATTTTAATCAACCTAACTACTGTAGTTTCATGGGTATCCCAAACTCTATCAGAATATTATACAATACTTCCCTCCTAACTGAATCATAGGCTTTCTTCGAAGTCTATGAATAGCTGATGTATTGTCTCATCGTACTCCCATGTTTTCTCCAATATATGACAAATGCAAAAGATCTGCTCTGTAGTTGATCTGCTGTGTCGAAACCCACGCTGATGATCCCCAGTAATTTCATCTATATATGGACTTAACCTTGAAAGAAGAATATTGGACAAAATTTTATATGAAGTTGATAGCAGTGATATCCCCCGATAATTACTACAGTCAGTTTTATCACCCTTCTTGTGAACTGGTATAATAATAGACTCCTTCCATTGATCAGGCAATGTTTCCTTATGCCAAATAGAAGTAATTAGATTGTGGATCTTAGAACGTAATATTTTGTCTCCTGCTTGAATAAGTTCTGCTGGAATTTGATCACTATCTGTCGATTTATACCATTTCAATTTTGAAATAGCACTTTCAACCTCACAAGGGCTAGAATCAGGTACTAATGGCTCAGCTGCGTGGATTTCTGTCTGCCTAACATCACTGATCCTATAAGTTGTCCATTAACTATAATATTATGGTCATAGACATGCTGATTCAGTCTGGATAATATGATCCTCTCGAAGAGTTTTGAAATGGAAGTTAAAAGGAAAACTGGTCTATAGCTAATAGGATCATTTTTACGACCACCCTTAAACAAAGGCTTAATCTCAGCATATTTTAGCCTATCAGGAAAAATACCAGAAGATAACATTTTATTGCTAATATAAGTTAGTGAAGAAATAATAAACGGAGAACTAATTTTTAGAACTTAAACTGTTTCATACTAGATTCAAAGAATACATACAGGCAATCAGGAATAATAATGGTAACTCAGGATATTCGAATCATGTATTAAATACAGGGCATGCATATGGGAGTGCAACTGACACAATGACAGTCCTAAAAATAAAGAAAAAAAGGATAACATCTAAACACACTAGAAAAATATCACGTGCATAAAGTGAGTAAAAACAGATTGCACATGAATTACACATGTATTGACATCTATAGCCCAGTATTTGAAGTATTACAAGAATTAAACACCAGATAGCAGCACATACACATTATGAAAGATAGAATCAATCCAGCTCAGCAACAATTTGTAAAAAGGACACACAGCACAGCACAACAGGAAGAACAGACCGTCACTTGGTGCACTTGGCATAAGTATACAAACAAGTAATCATACAATACATTAACACACATCATATACATAAATTGTAACAGAAGGTATTTATACATGTTTTTTTATTGCTAGTGGGGTGGGACCAAGTCCCTTGTACTGCGGCCACTTCTGGCCTATTGTACCAGCCCCAGATGATAGGCGAAGGTGATTGTGGAGCAGTTGGTGGAATGAAGATTGGCAGGGTAAACTGAAGTACTCAGAGAAAACCTGCCCCAGCGCCACTTTGTCCACCACAAATCCCACTTACCAGACCCGGGATCAAACCCGGGCTGCTGTGGTGGGACTAACCGCTTGAGTTATGGCACGTCCTTATTTATACATGTTACAGACACACATGTGCATAGAGGGGACCATAAATTTAAACAATTGCGAGTATAATTGAATCCACGATAATAGAAGCACAGCAGTTTCTTGCACCATAATTTTAAATGCCTGACGATGACTGTATTGGTAGAAACATGTAGTGAACAACTTTTAAAAAGTTATATGATGTGCAAAACTTTTAAAGCGAATAACGTTTAATAAGTTTTATAGAAGTGTTGCATGTGAAATGGTGGAACCCGTAACATTTGATATTAGATATGTGAAATTTGATATGGAAGTGAATCATACACATGCATACAAATTTTTTCGTAAATACTGATTCCAAGTCAGTTAATCACACGCCAATGGTGTGAAGCTAGAATGTATATGCTACAAATTTAGCATGATGAAGTATGAACATTATATAAAGTTGTAGGCCTATTTAATATTGTTAACTATGTGTAGTTCATGAAGTCTCCTTGTAACAACCAGGAGCATTCAGAATGCAAAAATATAAAGAATGCACATTGAAACTCATTGTGTATTCTGGTATGGATTACATATTTCCCATCATATTTGGGTTATACAATTTTCAGTTATGATCCTTTGAATTCTGGAATATCAGTATGATACAGTTGACCCTTTCCTAGAAGATGAATCTCCAATTTCATGAATAGAATGTAAGCCATGTAGGGATTACAGCAATATTTTTATTAATATAGACAGTGCATTGAGGGACATAACATTGCATCTTGAGGTAGAAAATTCCATCAAATGGTATGCCAAACATGATTTGTCTTGAAGATTACAGTCTTCTGGTTGTAATACTGTGTAGTTCAGAGGGAGCCAAACATTTCATAGGAACAAACTGGTTCCATAGGTGCCACCATAGGTTCATAAAAATTTGTTTGTGTCTTTTTTTTTGTCTTCATACTCAGTGTTCTTATTGTGCTGCATATGTGATTAAAACTATTCATTTTTAATTCTTAATCTCTGTTATTTGTTACTGTTGTAGATCCTAAGTACATGGGAGAGTCAGTAAATAGGTCACAGATGGATATAAAACATAAAACATAATATTTGAACCTGGAAAAAACATTTATTGCTTGACATATCTTCCATCAACATTGATACATGTCCCATTGCTTTACCAGTGTGCCGAAACCTCCAGCATAGCATTCTCTTGACTGTTGCCTCAGCCACTTCGCACCTCCATTTCAACCTCTTCATCATAAGCGAAATGTTTGCCACCAAGGTTGTGAACCACTTCATGGGACAAACACTTCCCACCATAAGCTGGAAACAATTCTTTATGAATATCCTTTGCATTGAGTCCTTTTGTCCACAAAAAACCCACAACAGAACGCTCCTCTTTGTTTGTACATTCCTCGAGCATGGTCCCCATTTTGACTACTAAAACCAGCTTCTGAACATGTGGATGCATGTCTGCTACCTAGACTGTCATTGAGCTGGGCTGTGCTGATACTTAATGATACACATAGAAAACCAGTTATGTCCATTACAGCCATTTTACTTTGTCTGTGACCTATTCACTGACTCTCCCACATAATTAAAATTGTTTACTTGTTATATGATTAGTGTATTAAACTGATCAAACAAGATCTTATGAAGATAACATAACCTGTCTTTTATAGTGGTATATAATGGTTAGATTGCCATTACCCCATTTCTAGAGCCTTATTGTGAAGGTGAAGTTGGAATGAAGACACTTAACTCTTTTCCCCATTCCCTTTAAAATACTAATGCATAGTACTGTCTGTCAAGAGATTATGACATTTTACTACATTAAAAATGGCCAAGGCTACTTTCGTTGTATTACATTAGGAGGAGTAGAGGGCAAAATCTGTACATTTATTGGGTAATATATTGGAATACTTACTATCTAGATACCGACATTAGAGAGCATTTGGTGGAGAACTTCAGAATGTACTAAGTGCATATTGAGTTAGGATTTATTAAAATGATGGCAGGTGCAGAAATCCAGTCATGAGTAAACGTCGACGCACATCGTCAGTTGCAAGTCGCGGCCAGGATGAAGAGTCTGGTGAAACAGATGCTGCACCAGAACCTGCCCGAAAGAAAAAGAAGTTGGACCCAGTGAGTAGTAAAATTTTACATCAAGTTTTTTTTTTGCCAGAAGTGTTTATTTATCAGGAAGATGCTTTGAAACATGGAAAGGTGTGACATAAAGTAATTGAATCAGTTGGCTGGAAAAGGAAACATGTTGCCTTTCAGCCATTGGACATGCTCTTGCTCCCATTTGGAGCATAGGGCATCCATGAAATGCTCATTTCACTGCAGTTTCTTAATCTTAGACAGTCAGTAGATTCCTTTGATGGGGATCAGCCCATCACAAGGCTGCTACCTACACAAGCCAACACAAACACAGAATAATCGCAGACACACATCCATGCCTCAAGTGAGATTCAAACCCACGATCCAATGTTTGAGTGAGTGATGACATTTGTGATCAGCTGGGAACAGTCTAGAGGCTTCTTACAATAAATGGCAGTTTAACTCGTGCATGTTTGGGCAGTAACATCGTTGGTGTTCTGCATTCTGTTAATAAAGCAATGTTGTGTCCAAAGAATGATGATGTTGTGTAACCGCACCATGCAGGAACCTCAGCAATGTTTTTCGTTTACATTCTTAATTACAATGTACTACACGTAAACAAACTGTGTTACTGTTAACACAAGATGATACAGAATTGACCCCAGCACCAGCAGGCGCCAAGGACGACATATGGTCTTTCTGAGGGACAAGCGAGCTGCAGGTCACTTGAAAACTCAGAACGGAGCAGGAAGTATCCTGCTGCGTTTTCTGGGAGTTTCAGTGCTTAACTTCGACAGTACGAGTCTTTGAAAATTTGAGGCTTGACAGATACGAGTCGCAATAATTTTCGGAGAGGCGTACCGAGCGATTGTTAGCGTACCTTCATTTATTTGAGAGCTGTCAGAAGGACCGTCTTCTACTTAGGTACATTTTTTACATGGATTTTGTTAGGGATTGGCTGAATGTAAATGAGAGAAACACCCAAATTTTAGGTTCAGCCAATCAGCAAAATTTCAGAGGAGAGGAAACCAGGTGTTCCCGGAACCATCAGGACTTCTGCCTCTCCAGAGCAGTCAATCATCAAAAGTTTTTTTTTAATGTATTATTGCTCAGTGATGGTAAGCGGAAATAGCATAGGTTGGAAGGTTTCATAAGCCTGATCGCAGCTCATATGGCAGTTACTTTTCATACACCTCCACTGTTGCTTCTGTTGCTGCCAGAAAGATATTTAAATTGTGAATTTGCAGGTTTGTCTTACATTCCTGTTCTCAAGCACAGATTAGTTTGGGGGTTTCTTGCTAATAATATCCATACTTTAAGGTATGGTAGCAGTAAATCAGTATATCTCTTATTTTGGTCAGTTGATTTGGAAGATTAAACATGTGGCATATCAAGCAAGCTTGGTCAGATGGTAACATTTCTGACTTGAATGGGGGGGGGTTGCCTGGTTCAGACCTCTGCAGAGACAATGACCATCCTGACTGAAGGTTTTTGTGAGCTTTCTCATACCTTCGAGGTAAATACCAGATAGTACTTTGAAGTAGGCAACTAGTATTACCTTCCACATTCAAGCCAGTCTTATTATATTAATCCTATCATTTAGTGCAATAGTAATCTGAGCTGTTTACTGTTGATAGATGAATGAATGAATGTATAAGGGGTGGGCCTTGTTGGCCCTTGCACCGCGATCACAGTGATCTGTTGTGCCTCCCCTTCCTATTATCCCCTCAACAATCCTACACTTCGAATGAAGCACAGGATCTTATACGTGGGAATGTCGAAATAGTCACTTGGTTCCATAAAATATTGGCCCAAGTGGCGCAATCTTAAACAAGCTAAGGCCTCACATTCGCACAGGATATGTGTGGCTGATTTATTTAAACCGTCTTGTAGTGCATACACTCATTTATCTCCTTCTCTCCCTCGCACTACATGTTTCGGCATAATAATGCCATCTTCAGGTGCTTACTTATCCACGCCAAACTAGTTCATTGCATGCCTTGTTCTCATATTAAAATAACTAAAATATGTATCTATCATATACATTGTCAAACGTTAAAAATATTAAAATTGTTCAGGATACCACATC